CGCCTCCGGCTCGGCCTCGTCCCGCAGATCGGCGAAGAAGTCCTCCCCGCTGCCCGCCGCCTTGCCGCTGAGGGCCCGCAGCGGCCCCCCCTTCTTCTTCTTCTTTCGGTAGTCGTCCACCACCAGCCCCCCCAGGGCGGAGACGTCCCAGAACTTCACCTTCTGGTCGTGGGCGCAGCTGGCCAGGAGCTGCCCACCCGGGGCCACCACCAGCTGCTCGATGGGCTCCCCAAGGTGCTGCCCGACGCAGCCCAGCACCCGGTTCGGCAGGACGTTCACCGCCCTGGGGATGGGGCAGCCCCAGTGAGGATGCACCCTGGTCCACCACAAGCCCACCGGCCCGCAGTGGCACAGGCTTGGCCCATCCTCCCTTCCCTTGTTCCTAACCAAGGCTGATCTTGTCCTACAGCCTCCCCACCCCCTCCCATCCCCCTGACCTGATGACTCCGTCCAGGGACCCCACGCATACGATGCTGTCCGTGATGGGGACCATGCAGTCAACAGACTCGGCCCTCAGAGCGAAGCGGTCGCTGGCAGCCCCGAAGCCGTCCCAGTTGAAGAGGTAGATGGTGCCTTCACTGGAGCCACACGCCACTTTCTTCCCCCTCTAGGCAAGATGGAGGACAGCAAGGCAGAGGCAAAACAAGAAACCCAGAATGTGGAGAGTGATCCTCAGGACGCTGCTCCGCAGCAGGGCCCTGTGCCAACCTTCAGCAGCACGACAGATGTCAGGTCCCCGTTCTGCGGCTCCGAGAGCAGCTCAAAGCGCCGTCTCTTCACATTGAAGACGCCCAGGGTGCCATCACCGCTGCAGGAGATGGAAGGGGCATGTAGTAAGCATGGGACGCGGCGCACAGTGCTTCCCCCAGCCCCAGGAGAAGGCCCTGCGTGGGTGTGGGAGAGCCCAACCCCAGCACCATGGAGCCCACGCCCAGTACCTGGCGGTCAGCAGGATCTTCCCGTTACCGTCCACGGCCATCGCGCTGATGTACTCCTCCTGCTGACGGGCCTCCAGGATGGCGTCCCCCTTGCGCAGGTCCCACACCTTCAGCCCCCCGCCATCGTCGCCCGTGGCAAAGACGTGGTTGTCGATGGGCAGCACGCAGTTGAGAGCTGAGCTGCAGAGATCCCAGCCCCACACCGGCACAACCACAGCTCATACCGTGGGCGAATGGCTCCCAGAGCATAGAGGACGATGCTCTGGCCTCTGCCGGCCTGGCCCTGGCACGGGAGGGAAGGGGACGACCTACCTGTGGGCCTTGGGGAGGCGCGTTTCCAGCCGTCCCTCCTCCACCGTCAGGATGTGGATGGACTTGTCCTTGGACACAGTGAAAAGCTCTGGAGAGCCGCCTCAGCACCCCAGCCCCGGCGTCCCCCGCCATGCCCCGGTGCCACCCCATGTCTCCCCGCACTCACTCTGCCCGTCCTGGGAGAAGGCCACGTCCCGGCACGACTTGAGGTGATGCCCCGAGGACCAGAGCTGCCGGTTCTCCCCCTCGGTGCAGGAGTACGAGTACCTGCCAGCACCGCGTCGGGCTCACCGGGGCCCGCGGGAGGACGGGGAGCCCCGACGGCCGGCGCCCAG